AACAGATCACGTAAATATGTAGGGCCCGTAACGTCTGGAATTAGGGATGATAATAACAATATTCTGACCGATCCGGTTGACATATTGAATAACTTTAAGGACCACTTTGACAATATATTAAATACGGGAAATTATGATCTGTGTCCTCCTTCTGAGTACCAGAGTGCTGAACCGTTAATAGAAGGACCAAGTAAAGAGGAAGTTGAGATAGCTATCGGAAAATTAAAATCATATAAAGCAGCGGGAATCGATAATATTCCTACTGAACTAATTAAGGCATGCGGGGAAGCTGGAGTTTCTAAAATACATCGGTTGGTTAAAAAGATCTGGGTGAACGAGAAATTACCTGAAGAATGGAAAGAATCTATTCTTATTCCGATTCACAAAAAGGGTCCGAGGACGGATTGTAATAACTATCGAGGAATTTCACTCCTTCCGGTATGTTATAAAATATTCACTTTAATCCTAACCAGTCGAATCACGGAATACGCCGAGGAAATTATCGGAGACTACCAATGCGGATTTAGATGGAATCGTTCGACTATTGATGAAATATTTTCTTTACGGCAAATATTAGAGAAAAAATTGGAGTATAACGGTATTGTTCACCAGCTGTATATAGATTTTAAAAAGGCTTACGATTCTATTGACCGCCAGAAACTGTATAATATTCTAATCGAGCAGGGGATTCCAAAAAAACTAGTAAATCTAGTCAGGATGTGCTTGACGGAGACACTCAATAAAGTTAGAATCGGTAATAATTTGTCCGAAAAATTTGAGGTTCGTTCGGGCTTAAAACAGGGGGATTCTCTTTCGCCTGTACTGTTCAATTTGGCATTAGAACATGCCATTAGGGAGGTAATGCGAACCGAGAAAGGGTTGGATCTGGGCGGGACAACATCCGTGCTGGGCTATGCTGATGATCTGGTACTGTTAAGCGAAGACGTTGAAACTATAAAACTAAATACGACAACGTTAATGAAAGCCGGTAAAGAACTAGGACTCGAAATAAACGTGGATAAAACAAAATATATGGTTAGCTGCAAAAATGGCGATACTACTGGTGATATCGATATAGATGGTAATATGTTTGAACAGGTAGATAAATTTAGGTATCTAGGTTCTAGGATAACTAGAAAAAACGAAATTGAAGGAGATATTAAGGTTGGACTGAAGGCGGGGAATGCTTGTTATTTTTCTGTGACAAAACTACTTAGTTCGCGCCTCTTGTCCCGAAACTTAAAAATTAGAATCTATAAAACAATTATCTTGCCTACAGTTCTTTATGGATGCGAAACTTGGCCGCTTACATTAAGGGATGAGCAGCGTCTTAAGGTTTTTGAAAATAAAGTATTGCGTAGAATATTCGGACCGAAGAAGGATGAGTTAACCGGAGAGTTCAGACGGTTACACAACGCCGAATTGCGTGAGCTGTATCCGGGTAATATAATTGAGGTAATTTCATCGCGGCGAATCAAATGGGCTTGTAAAGTTGTTGGGCTTAGTAACGAGAGAATTCCTGAAAGGTTAATATTTGCTGTGCCGAATGGTAAGCGTCCGAGGGGTAGACCGAAGCGAAGGTGGGAAGATTGCATTAAAGCCGATCTGAAGGGACTGGGCTTGGAAGGCGAACGGTGGAGGGAGGTGTGTAACAAGCGATTGGTGGAGTCGGCATCGAACCTTCGGGTTCGCTAAGCCTTATTATTATTATTATTATATATATATATATATATATATATATATATATATATATATATATATATATATATATATATATATATATATATATATATGTAATATAAATTATAAACAAATTTACAAAATTTTAGCCATATAAACCACCAAATATATTTAAATTTTGAAGAAAAAAAGATGACTCCTAAATACGTACTGAAACAAACAAATTAAATATTTGTATGCATTAAATGATCAATAAAAATCCCAAATCTAAAGCATTCATAATTCAATTAGTGAACAAACCATTTAAGCCAGTAACCAGCCGAACTTGCTAATTTGATTTGGACCTTGAACCATTAGGAAAAACTATTCCAACCATAGATCTTTAACTGTTTCATACCCTAACTGCCTTAAAAGTATTCGTAGGGAGTCCAATAGTGGCGTTTCTACTCCTACCTATCATTGTATGTTACCAGAATATGAGTCCAATAGTGGCATTGATACTTCTACCTATCATTGTGTATATTCTATCATACCTTCTATACTGATGGATGTAGCTTAGTGTGAGACAGAGTCTGGAGAAGGGTTGTTAAGCTCTTTTTTCTCTTATTTTAGAAAGCAAGAGTGTGTATTAAGATGTCGCTTAAGTAAGTAGCCTTTAGGCAGAAGCGCCACCAATTTATATCTGGCTTGGGAGGGTTGAAATTTATTTTGTGGAGGACCAACAAAATAAATCTTGACCTTCCCACTGTGGCTAGAAAAAGTGGAAACATTAAATGTAAATAAACAGACTTTTTCACCAACTCTTCATTAAGTAGTACTTCTGAGAATGCCATCATAAATATTTAATGATATAGCCTTTCCATGATTTTTGGATGATAAATCCATTATCAAAGGGAGAGTATTATAGATTGAAACTCTCCTTATTCAATTATTAGAAAGATTTTTTGTGACAAAAATACTTTTATTTTTTCAAATTTTTAATAACCATGATATTTCTTATGCATTGGCAATTTGTTATAAATAAAAAATATTTGTGAAATAAGAGAATGTGAATGAATTATTGAAATTGCATTGTATATGAATGATCAGTCAAAAAGGGATCATTGCTTAAGTTTGAGGATATGATTTTTCAATAACTTACCTGGAGTTAGATACCTTAAATGTTATAAAAGTAGTATATCATATATATTAAATTATATTACAGCCCAATCCCACTTAAATAACCAGCTGGTTCTCTGGATTGACTGGCAATAAAAAGAAAAGTTTTATATTAAAAGCAAAAATTCAGAAAAGAGACATAAATTAACTGTTATGAGATTATTGGAAAATTTAAGACACAAAGCCTGGGTCTCTAAAATGCAAGTGAACAAATTAACCAATCATGGTTTTGTCTATTCAGATATCATCAGGACAATAACAACCTAAATTCACTTAAGTGTAGACCAATAAAACACATCTCTTATCAATGGTAAAAAAAAATGCATCTAAAATCAATTAGATGCAGTAGATCAGTCCATTTTTTTATAGGATTTTTGTGTTCAATATTGTTACCATCACTTTTTTCAATTTGATGTCCTCTGATTTGTAAAAATTATTGTAGCGTATGATTTAAATTTAGCAGTAACGGCTTGTTTTTCTTTAATTCTATTTAATATAGTTTTAAATTTGGTTGATATATAAGGTACTGGTGGGGAACTAGTCTGGCAAATGGGCTCTGTGCGCCTTATTGCCAACTCCTGACGGCTACTATAAAGTTCCCACTGCGTACTTACAGGAGTAGGAGTGTCATAATTTATTTCCTGGGACCTCTAAGAAATAACTGTTAGCTGACTCAGGTGGAATCAAACTACAATGTTTAGAACCATGCATTTTGTGACCCACTCCCCAACATCACATCTTCTGGTATAGGGTATCCACTTGTACAGTTCAAACTACCATCTACATTAGGATGAAAAATTCCTGAGCTTTTGAATGGCTTAAGGCTATCTGATATTCCTGGTGTGATGGTTTGCCATACTATATTTATCAATAACGAAGATTTAGTTAAATGTTTAATTAGAAGTTTTAACAATTAATTAACTTAAAGTTTCCATGAGATTGCTTCAATGAACCTATTGGGCATTATCTATTTTTAAGAAGCTTATTTTTTATGCAATTTATTGAAATTCTGGGACCTGGAGATAAAGGACACCATGTCCACTTTTACTTTCACTTATCTATATATGTAAAATAAAGGGTGTCCCGTAAGTAGAGGGAAATATTTAAAAGGTTGATAGTAGACATCAAGATCTACAGAAAAAATCATTTAAACAATTTCCAGCAGAAAAGTAAAAAATTTATGATTTGTGTTTTATTAAGCGAGTTACGTTTTTTGTTGAATAGGAAGCTATATCTTAAAAAATATTTGATTTAAGTAATTAAACATTGCTCCATAGTAAACTAGACAAAATTTATTTTAAATGAAAGTAGAGTTCGTCTTTTTTAAAACTATTTAAAGAGGACTTTTGGGCGGACACAGCTAAGTTTCATTTAAAAAGAAGTCATAAATTATTTGTGATTATTTTTTATCACCCTTTAACTGTACTATTGTTTATATGAAACTTTCTAACACTATTGTTTATATGAAATTTTCTGTAGTTCTTGATGTCTACTTTCAACCTTCTTTTCTTCGTTCTTGATCATCAACCTTTTAAATACTTCCCTTTACTTACGGGATAGTCAGTATAGGCAGGAAAAGTATTGCAATTGTGAAAATTTTTGAATCTGAATTTTCAACTGAAATACATGTTATGAGGTCTAAACCACAAAGTGGTCTGTGAGTGTGTGTGCATGCACACGTATGGGCGGGTGTCTGTGTGTGTGGAAACAGCCAAGAGCGCCTTCCTCTCCACGCTGATCCTCTCTGTTTACAGATACCCAATACCCCTCTGTATAGGGCTTTCATATTGTTAATGTAACTTTTATATATCACACCTTTACTTCTCTATAAGTATATGAAAACACCTATATACTCTAAGGTTGGTAAGTGAAAGTTGTGTGATGCACCGTATCAGATTTTTTTATTAAATAATTTAGTAACTAAGAAACAAATTTTAATAGCTCAAAGTTATGGGAAATTGGCTTCTCTATACACCCTACCTTTAGCTTAACAAATATAAATTTTAATAGGTAAAATGTATTTGTTATCGAATACTTGAGTTATTTGATTAATGGATTCTGTGGATTGTTTTGGTATGCAGAGTTCTGAAATTTATATTTTTAGCAGAAATAAAATATTTTTGTTATTCTGATTGTCATTTTTTCTTTCTTTTTTTTTTCAGGAACAATGATGAATCGTGAGGTCACATTTTTGTTTCAATTTGGCCTTGTTCGAGACACAGTTACGATTGATTCTTCAATTTTAAATTTAAAAGTCGTTAAAGAGCATGCTTGTGACTTCATTAATAGTATGGTAATAATAATGTTAATTTCTGTCTTTATTGACTAATTTTCTTATATTAATATTGGTTGCTTGGACACTTAAGGATCCAAAAATTTTAATGAATATATTTGTCATACCATCATGTGAACATATTTTATTCAGAGGCAGTTTAGTGATTTGTAATTTGTTATTTGGTGGAAGGGGAGAGGAAGGAGAAGGCTTTATTAACACTTTTTATGCACTGGTTTTCCATCAAGTAAGCTGATAATTTCTTAGGGTTATAGTGAGTCAAATATGTTGCCTAAAAGGTAGAATTGGGTGGAAAATAAAATAAAAACAGTCAAAAGTACTTAAAAGGGTATCTCCCCTTAACATCTCTCTCAAGGATTTGATGATTGAAGAAGCCCTAGTCAAATCATCCTGTCTAAGATTTTAATTCCAAAGTTCCCGCTCGTTTAGAAACCAAGTTTTCCCTACACTGTAATAGTTTTCTAAACTTCATTTATGTTTTTATAGCCTTTTTACTCCCTCTTACATATATATAAAATATATAGTAAGAAAAAGTTGCAATAGTGAATATTTTCGAATCCGAGTTTTCAATGGAAATTCATGTTTTGAGGTCCTCTCAGTCTAAATTACCAAGACTCGCATAATGGTCTGTCTCTGTGTGCGCGTGTGTGTGTGTATGTTTGTGCGTGCGTTTGAATGCGTTTATGTAAACAGTCTAGCTCAGAAACAAAAAGTCGTACTAAACTAAAATCGCGTATTCAAGTTTTTTTTATTGCTGGGATGTTACAGCAACATTTTCATCAAAATCGGCTAACCAAAAGTACCCCTTTATATTTTTGATTTTACTTTGATTTGATTTTAACAGCCATTCAAGAGGTAAGGTGGCCAGTTTAATATCATGATTATTAACATGTATGCACCGACCGAAGAAAAAGAGTATGAGGTGAAGGACGATTTCTACGATCGGTTAGAAAAAGTTGTGGACCAGGCTCCAAAATATGACATGAAATTAGTCATGGGAGACTTCAATGCCAAGATAGGTCGAGAAACCCAAGCACATCATCAGAGGCCAAAGTTTCCACAAAACTAGCAATGACAATGGAGTGAGATGTATTAGTCTGGCAGCAGCTAAAGGTCTAGTAGTAAGCAGTACAATGATCCTGTACAAGGACATACACAAGTATACCTGGGTAAGTCCTAAAGGAGCAAAAGGCCAAATCGACCATGTGCTGATAGACAAGAGGCATCAAAGCTCCATACAAGACATAAGGAGTTATCGTGGAGCAGACTGTGATTCGGACCATTCTCTGATTAGAATCAAACTCTGTCAGAAGCTGAAGCAAATCCATCATATTGGAGTCCAAGTGGAAAGAAAGAGGTATGAAATCCGTAATTTGAAAAACTCTATAGTACTAGCTGAATTTCGAAATTGAGCTGAAGAATAAATTCGAACCCTTGAACTCGGAAGGCCTCACGGTTGACCTACACTGGGAGGCACTAGAGTCAGGGCTAAAACAAACAGCTAAGGAAGTAATAGGGATTCAGGAAAAAAGAAAAGCCAAGGAATGGTTCACAGAAGCATGCGAAAAGGCGGTGGAGGAAAGAAGAAAAGTCCTCTGCTTACAAACTGATCAAGCTATGCTGGACAAATACGCAGTCGCCAGGAAAAAGAGAAACAAAATAATAAGAACAGCCAAAAGAGAATTCCTCAAAGAAAGATTACAAACTATTGAGGAAAACTGGCAGGCTGGAAATATATGCGAATTATTCGCAGATATCAAAAAAGAAAGGGTAGGATGTAAAGCGAGAAATACACAAATGTGAGGGAAAGATGGCAAATTGACGGCATCAAAAGAAAAGATCCTAAGCATCTGGAAGGAACACTTCCAGTAGCTGCTTAACCAAGGGCACTCCACAAACGAAGAAGACATGGACCACACAGAGGACATCGACCCACTTGAAGTTGAAAGACCAGATATTCTGGATGTGGAAATAGCTATTGGCAGGCTTAAAAGAAGAAAGGCTCCAGGGATAGGCAACCTATCATCAGAATTGTTCAAGATTGGGGGAGAAGAACTCAGAACCAAGCTGTTAGATCTAATCCAGAAGATATGGGAGAAGGAACAGATACCAGAAGCATGGAACACAGAGTTGATCTGTCCTATACTTAAGAAGGGCTCCATGTACGAAGGTGGAAATTACAGAGGCATAGCACTTCTTCTGGTAGCCTATAAAATAATGACTAATATTCTACTAAATCGGATATATCCGTATGATGAAAACATAATAGGCGACCATCAAACAGGATTCAGGAGAGGAAGGAGTATGCTAGATCAGATATTCATCCTAAAACAAGTACTTTAGTTGTTCCTGGGAAGTTAGTGAGGTTGACGAAGGCGTGTACAAATGATCCTAAATGTAGTGTACTAATACAAGGAGACGTATCTGAAGCCTTTGAAGTTCGAACGGGTTTGAGGCAGGGAGATAGACTCTCGTCGATGCTGTTCAACTTAGCACTAGAGAAAATAATAAGAACAACATCACGCGAAGATGGAGGGGTGCATGTTGAAATGAAACACAAAATCCTAGCATATGCGGATGATATACCTGTCCTCGGATGTAATCAAGAGGATTTTGAGAGACTTGCTCGGACTCTGTTAAAAGAAGCAGAGCAAATCGGACTACAGGTCAATGTAGATAAAACAAAACACATGATAGTTAGCCGAAACATCCACCTTAATAACATGATCTGCGTGGACTTTAAGTCATTCCCAAAAGTAGACAGATTCAAATACCTCGGCTCCACAATAACCTCAATAAATGATCAACTAACAGAGATAGACCAGTGAATAACAAGTGGGAAACAGATCTTTCTTCTCTCTTTCAAAGGTACTGAAATCTAGAAAAATCTCCAGAAATCTCTAAAATAAGGGTGTACACCGCCGTTATTAAGCCAGTTCTGCTGTATGGTTGTGAAACCTGGGCTCTAACCGGCACACTAGAAGCCAGAATTGAGAGATTCGAAAGAAAAGTTCTACGTAGGATAACAGGACCTATATGGGACCAGAACCTTGACAAATGGAGGAGAAGGAACAATAAAGAACTTCTGAAAGAAATGGGTCAGTCAAAATCACCTGACATGAAGGCAAGGAGATTAAGATGGGCATAGCATGTAGCTCGTAGTGACTAATCTGACAAAGCTATTCATAAGTCTCTTTCTGTCACCGAGGGACTACTGTACACCATACAACTGTGACCTAAGTGGAGGAAGATGAGGGAAAAAACTAGGAGACTATGGGTAGGTTCGAGTAGGAAATGTCAGAAACGATGAAATAATTTGAGAGTGGAAATTGCTCGTCGAGTGATGTAGGAAATGTGGTAATTCCAGGAAAGGGTTTGATCAATCAAAACGCCTAGATTTTTAATGGAGGAGCCGAAGGAAATGGATTGGTCATTAAGGTATAGTGTGGGAAAGTTGGAATTAGATCGGAGAAGGGGCTTGGAACCAATGACAATGGCCTGAGTTTTTGCAGCATTTAACCTTAATTCATTTAAATTTGTTCAGGCACTGACTTGATCTAGGTCTTCTTGAATCTTGATAAATGCTGCAAATAACTGAGAAGGAGAGAATGATATATATATTTGAGAATCATCGGCATTAAGTTGATGGGAACAATTAAGGATTGATTTTAGAAGATCGTTGATATAGGCGCTAGAAAGAAGAAGAGATATGCTAGAACCCTGAGCAACTCCTGAGGAAAGAGAAATATTGGAAGAAAGCGGTTGATTAGGGATGAAAACTGCTTGGGAACCTTGAGATAGGAAAGATTGAAACCAAGAGATGAAACTGTTGGAAAAGGATTATGATTTTAGTTTTGAAAAGAGGATTGAATGATTAATGTAGTCAAAAGCTTTGGAGAAGTCAAAGAGGATAAGGACAGTTAATTTTTAAATTGTCAATAGCAGCTTGGACATCACTGATAATTTTAATTAATGCTGATTGTGTTGAGTAGCCGGGGCGGAAACCAGATTGTAGAGGATGAAGTTGGTTGGATTCTTCAAGAAAGTTGGATCCTTGTTATTGCACTAGTCTTTCCAGAGGTTTTGAGAGATTGAAAAGGATTGAGATTGGACAGAATTCTTCGAGAGAGGTTGGATTAGACTTTTTGTTTAAAGGGAGGACAATGGATTTTTCCCAAGAGGTGGGGAACACTGAATTCTGTAGAGAGAAGTTTTAGATGAAAAGGAGCACTTGGAGGATTTCAGGGACACATAATTTAATTAATTTGACAGAAATGCCATCTGGGCCTGTGGAATTTGTATGAGATTTCATTACAGTAGTTAAAAGGTCTGTGGGAGAAATGTAGGAAAAGAAAAAGTCATTATCGTGTGCACAAGCCCACACCTTTCCTTTTCTCTGTTCTTCCACCTGAGGTCATTCCTCTAAGCAGCTCTAGCTTGTATAAGTTCCTTCTCTTCTTCCCAGATTAAAACGTGTTGGGCCTATAGCATCTTTCAACTTGTATGCAAATTCCCTATAATGTGGGTAATTCTCTCTGGTCATTAGCTGGGGGAACACGCTCTCTATCAGCGTATATGTCCCCATCTCTCTTAGGAACTTAGCTCTTAGTGCCTCATAGGCAGTGCATTCAACAACCAGTTGTTGGGCTGTCTCCGGAACGTTGCAGTTGGGGCATAATCTTCCCGTGTTCAACGAGCTTTGCTCGAAGGCCCCCATGTCTCTATTCTCCCTAAACCCATGTCCTTAACCGATACCAAAGAATTGGTCCAATATTTTTTGATATCCTATCACCAAAAAAAGTTTCATTGAAATCGGTGAGCCCACATCCGTAACCTCCTCTTTTTTATTAGTGATTTAACTTCATGAGATGTATGTTACCTATCAACTTTTTGCAATAAACCAACATATATTAATAATTTTGGTTAACATTAAGTAACTTATAGCTAATTAGACCCAGTTGAGGGTTACTTGGAATTAAACAGAAAAATGATTATGAATT